GAAATGCGCACGACATCCGTGTTATCTCACGCATCTTCATTCGGTCCAGACGATTAAATTTAGTTTTGGCACCTCATGTTTATAATGTTGCCGCCAATAGTAGTTGCTATCACCCTGTCCCACCATGATTCACACATGTTATCCAAAAACGGCCATATGAGTTACAGCGTGTTGTAGGCGGCGGGCCGAAAAACCGGCACGATAACTAGATGAAGATTAAATTGATAGCTGTTGATACAAATTAAACTCGAACGTCGAAAACTAGGACCCTTTTGTGCTTGACAATGTCGCAAGCCAACGCAAAAAATTCAGCAACTGGGTGCCATATGTGTCTGCTGCAAGTTGATGCCACCAAGCATACGCACAAATTAGCCGAAAAAGTAGTCGTTCAGACCACTCGGTTCTAGATTTTTGACGCGTTTTATTGTTAATTGATGAAGGCTACCATCTGGCGAAAATTTAAGCTCACTAAAGTGAGCTTAAGCGACGGGATTAAATATTACGGATTTTTGAACTTTTCATCAATGCGACCAGCTTTATTCCTTTTTGTACAATTTAAGCGCGTTTAGCCTCATTGGACAGTTTGTTCTTTTCTTCTTTGTAATTTAAAGGGAGTGAAGAAAGACTACCGATAATGTCTTCCGCTATCAGCACGTCGATTTTGAATTTTAGACGCAGACTTGCGGCAACCGACTATCCAAAATCGACGATGTCCACTATTAAATAATAGTGTTTTGTGCGCCGACGTCCCGTACTAATTTAAAAGGGGGGCAAAATCGGAAGAGTCAACTAATAGGGAAGAAAAGGAGGGTGGCTGCAGCACAGTCTTACAGAAGAGAATCGAAGGAAAAACAAAAGGTGGATCCACGACGATAGAGGCATTTGGGTTGTGGCTTCGCTTTTTGGGAGTTGAATAAATTTCTTCCGTAGTGATGTAAGAAGGGCAGAACAAAAGTATGAGACATATTTAGGCTACCCTTTTCATCATCACCAATTGTTACTAAAAATGTAAAAATCAGCCTTTTATTTAAGATGCCGAATGTAGAGAAGCCTAGCGTGACAGTGCTGATGTGATTATTATTGAAATAGAATAAGCTAACTTCACTGAAACAGTACAAGCTAACTTCACTGAAACAGTGCAAGCTAACTTTACTAAATCATTGCAAGTTAGTGCCGGACGTCATTTCATGTACACCGTACACGTGCAGAGGAAGGCTACCTGATGAATAAAGCGATCGATAGAAGTATAAAGTATATGTATTCAACAATGTTGTTACTTAATTAAATGTTTGCTAAGCTCTTGCACACCATGTTTGCGCCAGCAAAGACAGGCGGGGTATGCTGTTGTGCGAAAGTGAAGTTTTACACGTGCATGTGCTCATCTGACATTCACAATTGTATCAATCCGACGCATAACCCTATGGTGATTTAATATAGATACTCTTCTATAATCGCATAATCCGTATTGGGACGGAAACAAAGCGTCTTAGGCGTCGCGCGCAGGACTTATTAATTTGTAGAAAGCGCTGTAGCTCACAAATTGACTTCTGCATTTTTTTTTAAAAAACAGGCAAATGTTTCCAATCAGGTAAAGCATCAACATGCCAATTTACACTTGAATTTGGTGATCCCCAATTAATTTTTATTCAAAAGGATTGTAGTTGGTTTTTCTTGAGTTTCTAACAATTTAACTTCTATTTCAAATCGTACTTTCTTAACCCTCATAAAGGTCATGTCAATAGAATTACACATTTATTATTATCAATATCGACGGAAAACATAGTAAATAAAAACTGAGACATTAGCTAAGAGCACCTTGCGCGGATATAATATTGTCATTTCTTAATCATTAAGACGCCTTTTTCATCGTACTCGTCAGTTTACACAGCCTCACACCTAAGTGCATCATAGCCTTGTGCAGGCTTCTCTGTACATAACGTAACTCCTTCACTCTATATTTGCAACATCGTTTCATAAGCAAAATGGAATAAATTATTTTGTATAGAATATTACAGATTTTCCAAAAGATACCACGCCGTGTGATTGCTTTGATGTACCATGTAGCCATTGCATATAAGATGAAACATGAATAGCAAAGTGTCTGGATGTACATATTATTGAAAGTAAACAGAATATTAGACGAACATAAATCAAGACAGATGTAAGTAATCTGAATGGCGTAGTGCTTTTGTCGATAAACATTTCCTTTTATTGCGTGTCTTTGTGGTATACCTAATGTTTCATAATAGATTGGTGAATTTTACATTGCTAATCATTTAGCGGTTCAGACAACAATATGTTACATCAGCGGCCGTAGCGTTGTAAGATTCTATTGATGCATTTTTAAAGCTTCATTAAATCGGGACTCGGATATAGATAAATTGAACTTTGAAAAAATAGATTAAAAAAATGTGTGTGGCGAGAAAAACCCAATTTATTGTCGCACGTAGATGGATTGTGCTAATATATATCTCCGTAAAAACTTAGATTTTAAGTAATAATAAACGACCGAGTCAGCAGTAATAATAAACGACCGAGTCAGCAGAGTGATCAGTAAACACAATTTTATCAGAAGATTTAGAAATCGCTGTTAAATTCTAACACTGTGGCTTAATTGTAAATTGAAAGCATTTAATGCAAGAATACTGGGTTGTATTTGTGAGGGTTCTGTTCACACCATCTTAGAATGTTTTTGCTGAGCTTTATGCATTAACGGACAGCGGCAATTAGTCCACAACTGTTTGCGAGACCCCAGAGAAGCTGTTTATAAGAACCTCTTTTTTCGAATGCGAAATCACAGCAGTCTGATGGACCCGGTCGGCTATCGCCTCCAAGGAGGCGCCAGACCGGTTGACCTCCTCTTCGTATCGGAATCGCATGCGATCGTACTTGGATCGTAAGAAGAGTACGAAATGAGACGCCGAAGTACGAAGCCCATGTAGATTCTTCCGCAGCTGACAATTTCGCACCATCTGCTGCACCAAGGCAGACTCCATACTCTGGTATTGATCCACGACAGCTTGCTGGAGGTGCAGACGATGGAAGATCAAGTCGATCACGGCGTCCAGCGTCGCTCGATTGACCAAGCTCGACAATTCGATTCGGATACTTGGAATCAGGAAAGAATCACTCAGGTTAAAGGTTGAAACGCAATCGCTTACCGGGCCACGTCCGGAGTGAGGATCGGAGGAGGTGATCCAAGATACATCGATCCGAAAACTGGCGAAGAAACATGATTCGAGGAGAAGCGATCGGCCATCGGGACGGCGGACGTGAAAACGAGGACATTTGGTACAATTCACAAAGGTTGCACAGCCAGATCAAACCGTATGTTGACTAACGGTGCAGGGGACGGTTGTGGCAAAGTGCTCACAAGTAAATTATCCATTCAGTTGGAGTTGGGGATCGGGTGGATATCACCCCATAGATCGGTTAAGGCGTTATGATTGGTGGAAACAAACTGAGACGGGTGGCTAGCAATAGCGCACGTAAATATAGTAAGCAGGATCGATATCACATGGGACAAGTCTAGGTGACAGTGAGACTAGCCGAATTGCGTGATTCATCGTGAGACAGGGCATAAGAAGATTCGTGGTCCCTCACCTAGGGATCACAATCCTGGCTTAGGATCAAATTCCTGACTAACGATCACGACCCGGAACTAAGATAAAAATCCGGACTTGGGGTCACAATACGGACTTAGGATCACGATCCGGACCCAGGATCACGATACGAGGTCAAATGGTGGTGACATCTCTGGTGGACCACAAGAATATTTGACTGCTGATACACATGATGTGGTCCACGCCAATACGAGAGGACGATATTTCTAAAACGGTAACGCGTGGCATCCGGTTAGGATATACGGATAAGGCAGAGGGGTTGGTTATAGGTTGATTGTAGCATTTTAGAGAATTCAATTCACTTCATAAGACGCACGCAATCTCTTTCGGAAAGGATCTTTGCTCCCCCCCCGACTACTGAAAAGTCGCGTCACCCGTCCATATAAGTGTCGCACCTGGATTGTTTGGCCAGGTGCAATCACGAATTTTAGGTACCTGCAACTGCGATCTAACGCAGCAAGGCACGTAAGGGCAAGGCACAAGATCGCGAGACGGCTCAAGTGGTCAGAAGGCTCGCGCATCAAGAACCCACACAGTGGGCAAGGCGATATTGTTAAGATCAGGGTAAATTAGATCAGTATCACCGATAACCCAATGATCGCGCAAAGATTTCCTCCCAATTGCACGAACCCATCTCCAACACGGTCAAGTTTTCCCTCGACACGTGTCCTCCTTGAAGAGTGCAACCCGCCCTACCGACGGGTACACATGTGAAAAAAGCAATATACAATGAATTGAAGTACCCCCCGTTAGCCGGTCGTCTGGGCGCCAGTGGAGAGTCGGGATCGTCTCAAGAAATAAGCGATCACCACTCCACCACAAGACCCACCCCCTGCGCTCGATGAAGGGCCGTCAGAAAACGACCTCCGAACGCGAGTACAGAGATTGCAAGGTGTCGATCGCTTCGGCCATCTCATAAGAGATGCGCGCCCTCCAGTAGGGAATAATAGGGATGTTGGCCTCCCTAGGGGCACAATTCGAGTTTTCCAGGCAACCTGGACACGAATCACCCCACGAGAGACAGGGTTATGCTGCTTCTCTTGACATCCGGGGCAACTTGTATCGCACCCCGACTAAGTTGCGCTTCTCAAACCTGATGCGAGCTGCCTCAATTTTACCGAGCCAGGTCTCACGTTTAATGCACTCGATGTTATGGATGAGGGCATTCCATCCTTGCACCAAGGCTTTTCCGTCTCGAACACGGCTGCCATTGTACCACCGATGTTTAAAAAACGCATCGGTGGAATATTTTGGCTCAGCACGTATAGTTTCCGCGCGAGAATTAGGTGGCCAAATCCTTCTACAGTCGAACAAAGGGATTCGATCCCGATCGGTGGTCATACCAGCCCATCGATTTTACTTCTTGCATCGTGACATCTAAGGAGACTCCACTTGAGGTAAAAGGCGCAGGACGTTGCGGTCCCCGGCCTCTTGAGTGGTGGCACCACGAGCACTGACACCAGTGGCAACTCGATTTTTCAAGTTGCTTCTTTCGTGGCGATGCATAGGTGCACTACCACTATCACCACGCGTCCTAGTGTCAGATGGACTTGCGTGAGACGAGGATTCGTCAGACGAGTCGCTCGGTCCAAAGATCGCGGACATGATGCCGCCACATTCCCAGATCCAGTCACCCTGGCTATTGCAGTGTCCGCCCCGGGTAATCCGGAGGCGCAAGGTGTCACCTTTAAGTCGGATACATCATCTGGATCGCCAGAAGAGATGAGCTCTATTTCAGACTCATTTGGAAAACAATCGCGTTACCCGCTGCAGACGCAGCGGATGTATCTATCGCACGTGGTGACTCACCACGTGGACTCTTCACAGCAGCAGGCAACGAATCACCTGCTGCTGAGGTGTGAGTAGCACTCTCTCCGGCTGCAAGCATGCGTGCAGCCACCTTTCTTGCTGCTACAGTAGCAACTTGCATGTAATTTGACACCATGCGAAATATTGGCAAATGAGTTAAAATTTGACCAACATGTACTACCTTTACCGGAGTGAACCAAACGGTGGTCACCCTGTCCCAATCAATTAAAATCAATTAACGGGTAATTGGTGGTTCAGGGGGGGTTATGTGTGGTGGAGTCGATCTCACAAAACTGCTTGTGTGAGTGTCGATCTTCCACTTGCCCAGACTTGCCGACTCACGGAGGGGGTACTCCGATCCGTGCCTTGTTGTATGACCTTGTCCTCACCTTGTGTACCCGTCGGTTGGGTTGGCTTGAGCTCTTCGTAACGGCCTTAGGAGATGTCGATCTCGCTGAGAGGTTGGGTTGAGGGTTCGCTTCCGGTGCGGAAATCTTCACACCACGAACGGGGGTTCTGCGATCCCGATCTTGGATCGCACCGATCTTGATTTGTCTTCGAGATCGGGGTCTTTGCTGTGCGGAAATCTTCACTCAGCAAATAAAAGTCCTGCGTCGATCTTGCCTTGGGATCGGTCCGATCTGGTCTTGGGATCGGCCGATCTTGCCGGAAGTGCGCAATTTGGGTAGATCGGTGTCTTGTTTCGCCAAAATGAAACGTGCCGATCTGTCCAGGGGATCGCTTTGATCCTGCTCGGTCTTGTCTTGAACGCCTTGTCCAGATCTTCTGACCACTTGAGCCGTCTCGCGATCCTGTGTCCAAAATCCTTTTCCTTTTCCGTTGTGTGCTGCTACCCTAGCAGTTGAGTTGAGTGTGAGTACTTGATCGATCCGGGCCAGATATCCTGGGATCGCTCTTCTCGATCTTGGCCAACAATCCAAGATCGGTCTTCTGTGTCCCTGTAACACGCGTGCCTTAACCCGCCGGGGAAGCCAAATCAATCTTGCCCGGAGAAGAGGGGAGGATAACGTGCGTCGTGAGCAGAAGAAGTAGAGTTCAAGTCTGTTTATTAACCAACCAAATTACTATCCAACCAACCCTTAAGCCTATTTTTAACTGTAGGTCACTCTTCAAACCGATATCGCCTTGAATCTGGATCGCCCCCTTGCCACGTGTCGAAATTTCGTGCCCTGTACTCCAATGATAGCGCCAATATTCCCGATACCGTACCTGAACGCCAAAAGAGGACCAAATCCCAAATGGAGTACCAAATACCCATTTTTGGTACCCTAAAAGCCCAAAATAGTGCCCAAATGCCGAAGGCGTCTAAATCCATTTTGCGACGTCAATTCGGACAGCTTCCACTGGCTCTTTCGGCATGAAACTTCTTGACATCACTTAGTGACCTCTATCAAGTATATTCCACATGATCCAGTGTCTTCATCAACCATATGTTCATGATCAGTGTGGAACATGACCGATCTGTCATCCAATATCGAGATGTTGGAGGTCGATCCGGTCTAAATCGGCAATTAACACTTTTTCATCTCCTCATTCGTGCTTCAATATCATCCTCCAGTGTTATCCAATCGACCACTTCATTCATACGTCTCGACATCGGTTTCCTTGACTCCCCTGAGTATGCAAAACTTCCAGATCGGTGAATAATTAACCAAAATCAGTACTCCCAATTAAGGATCGGTATAGAGTATCACCGATCCGTACGGCGTTGCACCTTCTTTGCCGATTCACCGACCTGTACCACCTGGTCCCAGATGCACTTTGGGGGAGTCACCTTGTCCCAGATGTGTCAATTCTTCAACAAACCGTTGCCACAACATGCCGATCTGCGATCTGATCTTAGCCTGCTTCAATGTACGTATACTTCTTCTTGACCGGCATTCCAATGAGCTGTATGACTTCATCCCGACGTCTGGTTCCAGATCGCCCCATAACATTCTGCAAGGTGTTACACCTTCGTCGCAGAGTCATATCCCATCACCCGGTCCCAGATCCTTGTCCCAGATTGTTCCATGTAAATCGTTCCAGATCGCTCCGTCCCAGGTCGATTCATACCCATTAGTCTAACGACAGTTGGACCGGTTCGCCGATCCCGTTAAGATCATCTTCCACCTCCGTATTGGATCGCCGAGTCTCATGGCCTCCTTTTCCACCAGTAAGCGGCGCTTTAAAGGTGTGGCCACCGATCCTCTTACAAAAATTGTGTAGTGACTTTGCCACAACCGCCCCCTGTACTGAAGTCTTTTGTACAGCAATTGACCTCAGTACAGTCACTCAAACTTCGTTCCAAGCACTCAAGTCCGTCTCATGGCCTCTCCGACGCATCCACCCACCTCGCTGATCTCATCAGAAGGACCCACCATGTTTCTGTCTCCGGATCGCGACCTGTCGCCCGGATCGCCCGATCTCGGAGGACACACCCCAGCGGTCCCCGATCGGCCTGGGTCTCCGCGCCATCTAGGCCCAACCAGATCGCCCACAATCCCCACAGGATCGCCAGATCGACAGCCGACCAGACCCTCGTCTCCATCCCGAGACTCGCCATCTAGATCGCCAGATCGCGGGTGGTATGCTCCTATCGTCCCAGATCAACATGAGTCTCTCAGTAATCCCAGATCGGTCCGATCACTCTCGACCGCCGCGGAATAATCAGATCGTTCCTCCGAGCCATTCCCGCTTCCCACTCCTCCGGCGGCCCCAGATGCGTCCAGATCCGACATCCCGGCCGCTAATGAATCTCGTGAAAGGTCTGCTCCAGCTGTGGGCGTCACCGACTTCGTTCCCAGAGTCTCTGCCGACGACGTTCGTCTCACGATGGCCACGATCTCGTATTTGTGGGATCGAGAGGCTACCTTCTGCAGCCAAGCCGACACCATTCATGCGCTCCAGCAATCCTACCGAGATGCCGTCGTCCGGGGGGATCGCTTACAAGATGAGCTTGATTCGCTATACAGATCAGCCGCTCCTTTTGTCTCCTTCGTCCAGCTTCGATATGACTCGATGCAGGGCCGCTACGTCGACGCAGTGCATTCTTTGAGTGATTGCCATCGAGCTCTGCGGACATATCGAGATCAATCGGAGGAGATTCGTCGGCTACGCACTTTGATATGTGCCAACCACGAGGCTCAGGGGAACTTGGAACGACAGGTGGATGCTTTGAGGGCTCAGCTTCATTCGCTCCAAGCCGAACTCAACTCTCTCCGACAGCAGCGTGATCAGCTGACCACGGACAAATCCTTCCTTCACGTAGAATTTTTGCACTTGAAGGAGCAATTGGCTCAGTCTCAGGAGGAGATCGCAGATGGACTGTCTTCGATCAGCGATCTCATGCAACAAGTGGATGGTTTGACTCCCCTAGAAAGTCAGTTGGCACTTTCGCAGGCGGAGAACGCCAACCTACGTCGTCAGCTTGCGGAACACCTCGAGATATACGACCAGTTGCAGGTGGTGGAGCATGATCGGGATCAGGCTATAGCTGAACACCGAGCTCTCCTCGACACACTGAACAGTGCTATACTCGGATCCCGGTCATCTGCGTTGATCGCTCGATCGACGCCTAAGAGTGCTACTCCGGTCGGATCGGCCCCTGCTCCCACTACCCCGGGATCGAGATCGCTTGCCCGTAGGTCCAGATCGAGATCGTCCGGCCCGCCTGCCAAGCGTCGGCTTATTCAACCAAGGTCGCAATCCAGTGATTCTTCCACCGCCCGTGTGGCTTCCCGGCTATTGTCGTTGAACCCTTCAATAACTTTAAACAAACTTCCCGGATTGGCCCCACCCGAGCCTCCACCCAATTCTTCTTGTTCTCCGCTTTCGTCCGCGGCTTCTGGGACTGGATCGGGAAGTGAGGAGCTGACCGAGTCGGATTCTAGCTCGGATGATTTGACTCGTGCTGCATTATCCCAATCGAGATCGGCCTCTCGTCGTCAACCTAGATCGGATGCCCGATCTTCGACCCCGAACCCCTTTCCGGCCGCTCGGGTTGTTTCCGCTTCTCCCGCAGCTACTGCATTGGCTCAAGCACTGTTGCGTTCGCCTTCTCCAGACGTTCCGGAGCCTCGTTATCTTTCGTACCGATCCACTCCGGTCGCGGCTGTCCCCGTAGTCGAAATTCAAGATGACGGCGGCGTAGAAGACGTGGAGGTATCGCCGACAGGGGAGACACACAGCGAGACTGGCTCTGTTAGTCCGCCTCCGGAGTCTACTGCGCTTTCGGATCGCCATTCGTCCGATAGCGAAAACAGCATCATTTTTCTGGCACGCCAAGTGGCTAACAGTGTTTTCTCTTCCGTGGACTTCGACAATCTTCCGCCACTCCAGCAACCGCGGGATCGGTGGATTCCCAACTATCTGGCGCCCTCCCGACGGATAGCTTCCGAAATCGCTCCATGGTCCGTTTCGCGGATCGCGATGGTTTGAGTGAGGACCATGACCATTGAGCTGTTGTTTCACCACTACTCCAAACCCAGAAATTTTCTGTTTCCCTTCTACAATCATGGACGAGCTCCGCCTACGGGGACTTGGGCTTCTGGGCTGATCTAGCGGCAACATATCGAGGCTCTTTATGCTTTAGCCCCTTGGGATAATATCATAGTCCCAGTGAACCCGATATCATTCACCATGACTGGATGGTATCGTGATATGGGTCATCGGTACCTGGAGCTTGAGTCCACTCATCGACAAGCTCTGTGGGAATCTACTCATGCTTTCCCGATTCCTCCGGCTCAAAGGCGATCTGAACGGTTTATGCAGACATTCTGGCGCCAACAAAAACAACGCCGATCTCGCTTTGGAGCGCGTTGGAAGAACTTCTTGAAGATGATACTCAGCGGCATGATCGCTGGCCACTGTGATCTCGACACCTTGCTAGATCCCTTCTTCCTCCACTATCCGCGCCCACATGAAGACCGAGTTTGGTATCCAGGGTTAGGACACTCTAACGACCCAGCTGACTTGCTAGGGGCGTTGGACATGGCAGACCAAGAGGATCCTTGGCGCAACCAGTTCCGTAACGCCTATTGGGATCATCCCGGATCGCAGATCCCTCGTCTGCAGGACAAGTTCAAACCTGCTCCATCGTCTTAGTCCAAAATCGATATCCAAGCCCGATCGTCTTTCATAATCGTGTACGTCATTCAATCATCTTCTTTTTGGTACTTCCATTCTTTGCAACTTCCACGATCTCGATCCTCCTCGCTCCACATCATTCAGGAAGGTAATTCACTTGACTATCTCCATACTCACATACAAAAACCTCATCCACCAGCATGTGCTACCGTCTAGCACATCTTTCAACCCATACATCCGCATATGCTACCTCCCGCATACTTGCGGGAGGTAGCATATGCGGATGTAGGGGTTAAGGTTCGTCCGACTTGCCTTCATGAGACTGCATTACGTCGAAACGGTTTCGACTCACTCGGTTCCGCTCAAACTCTTGCAAGATCGCCCCACAACTTAGATCGGCCTCGTCCACCCAACTTAGATCGGGATATCCCTTCCACTTCACCAGAAACTGCCGGTGTACTCGCTTATAACGGGTTTTTCTACCAGATTGCACGTCCAATTTTGCCTCTACTTCGTATTCTTCTTCTTCAAGATCGCCATCCCAACTGTCTTCTGGCAGCAGAGCTTCATCGAAATCCAAGCGATCTGATTTCTCTATCGTAAGCTGATCCTTCGGGCCTTCAGGGAACGTCTTTACCTTTTTAGCTTCGATATTTGTACAATCGGAAATAACCGATATGGGGTTCCAGCAATCTACAATTTTACAGCATGATCTCCACATACGTCCGCAACTCGGAATGGCCCATGCCACATGTGCGCTAGCTTCTTCGCATATCCCTCTTTAACTCGGTCCAGGTATAGCCAAACTTGCGCTCCTACTTCGATCTCGTGTGGTTCCAGATCTTCGTTGTGTCGATCTGCTCGCTCCTGGATTGCGGCTTGTAAACGATTGTTCACTGCAGATCGGGCTCGCAGGTATTGTCTTTGGATTTTGTATCTCCACCTCTTTGGATCGCGATCTCGTGTCTCCGTATTCCCCACTGGTAGCGTGGCCTTCAAAGTCGATCGCGGGTCCCACCCATGAATCAGATAAAACGGGGTATCCCCCCGGATCCGATCTTGTGCAGTGTTAATGGCAAATGTGAGCCGCTCAGCATACTCATCCCAGTCTCGCTGGTCAACTTCAGCCACGTACATCTTGAGCGAATGTGTCAGGGTTTGCACCATTCGTTCGGCTGTTCCATTTGCTTGTGGCCTGTAAGCCATAGTAGCACGCTATTTTTGTCCTACGATCCGACTGAAGGCTCGAAAGAAGTCGGACATAAATACCGGTTCTCGATCGTGCCTGATAGCCTCGCTAGCTCCGAAGCGTCGAAACACACATTCTTCGTAATTCTCCGCTATTGTTTGTGCCGTCCGAGAGGAGCTAGCCTTTGCAATCACATATCCCGAGAAAAGGTCGACCCAAATGAGCAGTTCGGTGTTCCCCTTGATGGACTTGGGCAGCGACGGTATATGATCCATGGCGATGATCTGGAATGGATAGGTTGCGTGTAGAATGCCCGGGGATTTACCATGAATCATTGGGTTTCCTTTCCCGGTCTCACAGTCGGTACATTCGCCCACATATCGCTGAACGCTCCGATACAGTCCTCTCCAATGAAATCGCGATCTGATCCTCTGATAGGTTCGGCCAATACCCTGATGGCCTCCTTCCAGACTCGTGTGATAGTGATGCAAAAAATCCTGCTGCAACGTCTCAGGAATCACCAACCGCATCAAACCATCGCGATCTTCCGACTCTCTTTTCGCCATGGGGCAAAAAAATAGCAGATTGTTCTCATCGATCTCGTATTCCGGCGCCAGTTTGGCGCACATCTTCACTTCTACCGCATCCATGTTTGATACATCGCCACTTAGATATATCTTGAAATTGACAATCCAACGCTCTTCATCTTGAGCTTAGACAATTCGTTGAATCCTGATCCTCTGTACTATCTCCTCCTGTATCACTTCAGGTTCATGACGTATCCTCCTGGCTAATATCGCGATCGCAGTTACCCGAGCTAGCTGATCATCTTGCTTGGGCTTCAACAAATCATCGAGACGGTTCAGAGTCATCAGATCTTGCCGACCCTCTTCAGCTACAACCGTTCTTCCCTTTTCGCTCTGCAATGCTGTGCTGGCTAGTCGATCTGTGCTCTGATTCCACTCTCGCTTCATATGCAGAAACTCGTGACTAGGCCATGACTGCAGCTTCTCCAACGCTTTGTGTCTCAGAAGCTGAAGGCCCGGTGCCTTGCAGTCGATCTCACCGCGCATCTGTCGAATCACCAGACTGGAATCTCCACACAGTATTACTCGCCCCCTATTCAGACCGGCGAGTAACTCAAAGCACAGTAGCAAGCCATTATACTCAGCTTCGTTCACAGTCAGATCGTGAACATATCTCGATTCGGCCGCCACGATCGTCCATTCGGGTAACTTCCATATCACGGCACTGAACGACCCTCCTTTCTTTTTTATCCTAGCCGATCCATCGAAACTGGCTACCAGCAACTCCTCGTCTGTTTCCACCGTTGGAGGAGGCATCGATATTTTGAGTCGACAGTCTTTTCGTGGGGAGATCGCAATCAGCATCTCTTCCACCTGTCCTCTCGGAGTGATACTCGCTGCTAACATGCCCAGGATTTCTTCCTCTCCTCTTTCAAATTTCTTCACCTCCATAGTCCAATTTGACAACAAAGCAGCCCACCGTCCTAATCTCCCGTTGAGCTATCGAGACTGCATCAACCAGGCTAACGTAGAATGTCGGGTCAGTACAGTGATCTCCCGAGAGGCAAGCGTAGTATAGCATACATCCAACACACGAAGTAGCGCCAGCATTTCTTTTTCTACCATTCCGTAGTTAAGCTCATTAGGCTTTAAAGTGCGGCTAGTAAACGTCACCGGATGGTACACGCCATCGTACTCCTGTATCAGGGCCGCTGAGACAGCCCACTTGCTAGCGTAGACCACGATTACGGGGGACCGATCTGGGTCGAAATGCTTGAGCATGGGAGCTGTAGCTATCTTAGCTTTTAGCATAGTGAAAGCAACCTTGGCTTCCGTCCATCGACCCTCGTTGGAGCATTCGTCTCCTGCTGCAAGCTGAGATTGGTCGATCTCGAAGAAATCCGATTCTCTTTCCTCATACAACACCGCGGCACACACCGCGAAATACTCAATGAAGCGACGGTAGTAGTTCAAGCTCCCGAGAAAGGATTGCATAGCTCGTAGCGTGCTAGGAAACGGGATGTTAACCAACGACTCTAGGTTCTTGGGCTGAGCCTCCAGACCATCCATCGACACTCGATGTCCCAAATAATCGACCTTACGGCACCCCCTAAAACTCTTCGTGAGGCTGATAGCCACTTATCACATGCCTCCAGCAACCGTTCTACTTTTGTGTACAAAGATCCCCATGACGCGGCTGGTATGAGAATATCGTCAATGTAAGATCGGCGTCCCAGTATAGACGGTCGTCGATCTGTCTCAGGTTCTCCATCTTTGAACACGTCGATCGGGCCATCAGAAGCTGATCTCTGGCCGATCTTGAGATTTCCATGCAACGCATTGTCCACCAGACGTTGGTAGATCTGGGGCGCGTTCTTAAGCCCAAAAGGCATTCGCAGCCACTCGAACAAGCCAAACGGTGTGACAAACGCTGAGATCAGTTTTGCTCGTTCGGTCATTTCGACGACCCAAAATCCACTAGCCATGTCTAGCGAACAGTACCATAGACTTTATCCAGATCTTCCAACAGATCGCTGATCAACGGCATGGGATAAACCGTCAGACGCGTCAGCTGGTTAACTATTCGATAATCAATGCAAAGGCGAATATCCACTCCGTTCTTCTTGATGATCACCACTATCGGAGACGCCCAAGGTGACGTGGATGGCTGAACGATTTTGGCTGCTAATAGTCCTTTGATGAGATCTGACAGCTTCTCCCGATATTTGGGTGCGACCGGACGCACTCTTTGCGCTATCGGTGCTGCCCCACCGACATCAAAATCACAGATCGCGCCTCGTGCTGCTGGTGGTAGAGCGTTACCTTTACCCATGAAGAGGTGACGGCTCTTCCAGATCAGCAATCTGAGCCGTTGTTGATCTGTGGTGAGAGGCACATCGGGATCACCGATCTGAATGTCCTCAATCGTAACTTCTTCCGTAGTCGCCGACATCTCTGGTAGCACGGCCATATGCTGCTCGATATCTTCCGCAAACAAATCTCCGCTCTCGTGGTGATAAACTGGTATTTCTGCAATCTCGACGTCTTCAGTATTTAGCATTATTTCTTCTTTAGGCTCCTTCGTCTCTTCCGGCTGGCCCAATTTCAACAGTCGGTCAGTCGGCTCAGCCTTCGGTAGAGACGATCTGTCACGTAGCCCTTCTTGACCGGTGTCGCGGTCTCCCTTCGTTGCATGTTGGGTACCGATCTCATGACCGTTCTCCATCCGCGATAGTTCGGCTCCCCTGACCGTTACTTCACTCGCAACTACAGCATCTGCCTTTTGCGAATCGCCATCGTTAGCTTGCGACGTTACCGTGGAGATCGCCGGAGACAGGTTCTGTAACGCATCAGACGGACGTTTCAAAGATGCGTTTGGGAGCGGCAAACGTAGGACGATCTACCAATGGTCCGATCGGTTCTTTCGGGAGTTCGTTCACTCGATCCGTTGTAGCCTCATATGCCAGAGTTTGCCATTCCTTGTACTTCCCCGACCCGACTGTCACCAAATCTTGGGTCCGCGGTACCATATCGCCTTCGACCCACATGCCTAATATAGTGTGGGTGGGCAGTATGATCTCCCGGTCGCCAATGTTGGTCATCTGCAGGTATTTCGTCTTACCCCACCCCGAGATCACAGTGGGGACCCAATCTAGTCCTCTAGCGACCCACAACTTCATCTTAGCCCCTCCGATCCCGATCTTCACTTCCCTTGACTCTCCGACCGGGATCACCACGTGTTGGTCCTTCGCCGTTATATGTTGTATCTTCGATCCGTACGCGGGGCGACGTCCTGCGAGATGAATGCGGATTTCTTCTGGTAGATATAGCGCGCCATCCGCTAGATCGAGCCGCACTCCAGCAGGCACCATAAAATCCATACCCAGAATCGCTTCTTGCCCTGCCAGATCGCCTACCCATACATTGAAATAGTATACCAGCGATCCCGCGAGGGTCACCTTGATCTTGGTACGTCCTACCGTCATGTACGGAGTTTCTCCAATCCCGATACATTCTTGTCGTTGACTTTCGTCAATATTACAACCGACCTCACGAGCAAAGGTGGTGTCAATGATCGACACTTCAGCACCAGAATCAAATAACAGAGTAGCTTTTACGTTGTTGATCTTGCCAACGGCTTTCGCTTGTTTGAACCACTTCCCGGGTGAATTATGTTTCCAGTATCCGCGAGATTCACCATAAGCGAGCTCGATCTCCAGAGCTGGTTCAGATCGTGAGTACTCATCGATCCGCTTCAGATGGGACACGGAAGCGACACGTATTAACTTCGAACGAGATATATTTGTTTCCACGTCAATATCCTGCTTACTCTCGCGATCTGTCTTCTTTTTTTCCACGTACGCAATAATGCAGAGCCCAGAACGCTCGGCTCGTACCAGATTCAAACCTGGCGAGCGTCCTAGTTTAACATCTTCTCGGCCTTCTCTGGTAGCATCCCCGCATGCTTATTCGGGACGTACCACTGACGGATCATGTTGTAGAACTCCTCCATGGGACACTTCCCCGGGTCGTGCATCTCACCGCAAGCACGACACACGAAAAAACAATTGTCAGAGGGGTTTCCTTTACGCCCACACTTCTGGCAAGTGAGCCGCTTCCAACAACCAAGATTTCCATGCTTGGTCGATCCGCAATGAGTAAACGGCTTCACTGGCATATTGCGATCTTGATAGTCTTGACGAGTGTTCGGGTCGACCGATATCGCGTTTGCTGCAACGTCATTGGGGGATGAACGGCGATTCGCAGTAGCAGCCACATGGATTGATCTCAATCGATCTTCCAAATCCGATCCGCAGGTGTCCGATCCTGACTCGCTGCAGACGTCCTCGGTACGGACCATCCTTACCGCTCGTGCAGGCTTAGACAGCGCTGGACCCTGAGTTCCCTTCTGCCTGAATTTGGACATTCCCATCATCACTTTCCCTTGACGCGATCTCCCTTGTTGATATCCGTGCAGTGTCTTTTGCATGGCCTCCGCGTCTTCTACATTCAGCAGTAGCAATTGATTGGACAGATCGGGGTCGTCCAAGGTGTCAATGAAATGATTGACATGTTCCTTGCGCGCAGCTGGCAATCCAGTCATCACCGGTATCTTCGCCTGCATTCCCATCACATTAAGCCGATACAGGTACTGCAAAGGATCTTCCTCCGATCGTTTCTTTGCATGGTAGTACTGCCTGCTCGCGGAAATCCCGTGTCACGCATACTCCACAAGAAAACTGTTCATCAATTCTTTCCGATTGAATCTCGTCGATCTACTCAGCTGTCGGTACCAGTAGCGGGCTGGGCCCACCATGAGATCACCGAAGACCAGACATCTCTCCTCGTCCGGTGCTTGGTCCCGGATAAACGCTGACTTCACTTTGCCGATCCAGGTCCGTGCTTTGTCTTCTTCCCGATCCTTCCCTGAGAATTCTTTCAGCTCAGAAATCGCTGAGATTCTGATCCTCTGCGTGATGTTTCCCCCTCCGGTAGTCGCACCGGTCGCGGCTACATGAGGGCGCCGTAGTTCGTGCATCCATAGATCATCCGGGTCGTATTCCGCCGCCTCATGGATATGTTGGTAAATGTCCGACCCCACCGACTCCATCTCAACATCCGGCATGTCAAGGCTTTCGTGTGAAGGTTGGAGCAAAGTACGTCGATCTGGGTAGCGGTTTGGCTGTCGATTCATTCGCTGAGCTGTACGTTGCTCCGCCTCGTACTTCTTCATGGCTGAATTGAAGTACCGAATTAGATCGCCCTCTTCTTGATCCTCCAGCCCAGTGCGGGTACTGGCCGATCTCTGCGGCATGTTGCTCTTGGCTTGTCCCTTATAGGCGTCGATCTTGGATTGTCCGATCTTGTCCTTTAAGAACCTTCCACCCGATGGTCCTAGAGACATCTGACGAATGCTGATGGATTTATCTGACTCGCTCTCGGAGTCATCCGAGGCGTAGCGGGGCGATCCTGCGGGGTGTTTTCAGAGCGAGCCCGAGGGCGTCCCGATCTTGTCTTCAGGAGTATTCGCTTTGCCCACCAGCATTATCATGATCTCTACAAACTCGTTCGCCGCGTCCTTCAACTGTTCCAAGCTGCAACTCAGCAGTTCATCTCCATCAAAAGCGTCAGGGCAGATACCCATGTCGTCCAACATCTGCAAAATCACATTGATCTCGTCGACTTTGTTGGTCCCGTGAAGTGGGACCGAGATCGGCTTATCCAGAGGACCAATCACCTTGGGCCTTAACATCTTGAACACTGGGTCCGTCTTGAGCAGCGTCTTCAACTGGCCATAATAGTACTGCCATTTTGCGCCCTCCCGCGCTTCATCCGTCGTCTCCTTCTCCATGGACGCGATCTATATTGGGCTATACTACGTCTTTGGCATCGCGATCTTATCTGGTGTTTCACCGTATTCCTCTTTGGCTCCGATCTTCGATTGCACGGTTCGGCCGATCTGGCGATCTTTGACATCTGATCCCATCGATCTCGTCGCGGATCGTTCTGATGTGGTCGATCTCGCGATTGTGCTTTTCGGCTTGAGGTCGGGCGATCTATCGACTAAGATATAGGGTTTGGCTTTCGCCGATTTGGTTTTCACCGTTGGATTTTCATCCAGCAGATCGCTCTTTGCAGAGCGATCTGCGGTGGCCCCCGAAGGGACCCTAGGAGGGAATTGAGGTTTATCTTCCAGATCGATCTCTCGATCTTCCTCTTTCATTTTCATTTCATCAGAGCCCCTCCCAAAACTTTGATGATATGAGGATCTTGTGCTTCTGCGTGTCTGCGTCAATCCCTTTGTCGCTGACACTTCAATCCCAGGTTCTTGCTTAATCTTGACATCTTCGCCAGTGGACTCACGGTGAAATCCAGAGGCCTCAGAAGATCCGGGCACGCGCACCATTGTGGTGAAGTCGATCTCCTGAAATTGCTTGTGTGAGTGTCGATCTTCCACTTGCCCAGACTTGCCGACTCACGGAGGGGGTACTCCGATCAGTGCCTTGTTGTATGACCTTGTGCTCACCTTGTGTACCCGTCGGTTGGGCTGGCTTGAGCTCTTCGTAACGGCCTTAGGAGATGTCGATCTCGCTGAGAGGTTGGGTTGAGGGTTCGCTTCCGGTGCGGAAATCTTCACACCACGAACGGGGGTTCTGCGATCCCGATCTTGGATCGCACCGATCTTGATTTGTCTTCGAGATCGGGGTCTTTGCTGTGCGGAAATCTTCACTCAGCAAATAAAAGTCCTGCGTCGATCTTGCCTTGGGATCGGTCCGATCTGGTCTTGGGATCGGCCGATCTTGCCGGAAGTGCGCAATTTGGGTAGATCGGTGTCTTGTTTCGCCAAAATGAAACGTGCCGATCTGTCCAGGGGATCGCTTTGATCCTGCTCGGTCTTGTCTTGAACGCCTTGTCCAGATCTTCTGACCACTTGAGCCGTCTCGCGATCCTGTGTCCAAAATCCTTTTCCTTTTCCGTTGTGTGCTGCTACCCTAGCAGTTGAGTTGAGTGTGAGTACTTGATCGATCCGGGCCAGATATCCTGGGATCGCTCTTCTCGATCTTGGCCAACAATCCAAGATCGGTCTTCTGTGTCCCTGTAACACGCGTGCCTTAACCCGCCGGGGAAGCCAAATCAATCTTGCCCGGAGAAGAGGGGGAGGATAACGTGCGTCGTGAGCAGAAGAAGTAGAGTTCAAGTCTGTTTATTAACCAACCAAATTACTATCCAACCAACCCTTAAGCCTATTTTTAACTGTAGGTCACTCTTCAAACCGATATCGCCTTGAATCTGGATCGCCCCCTTGCCACGTGTCGAAATTTCGTGCCCTGTACTCCAATGATAGCGCCAATATTCCCGATACCGTACCTGAACGCCAAAAGAGGACCAAATCCCAAATGGAGTACCAAATACCCATTTTTGGTACCTAAAAGCCCAAAATAGTGCCCAAATGCCGAAGGCGTCTAAATCCATTTTGCGACGTCAATTCGGACAGCTTCCACTGGCTCTTTCGGCATGAAACTTCTTGACATCACTTAGTGACCTCTATCAAGTATATTCCACATGATCCAGTGTCTTCATCAACCATATGTTCATGATCAGTGTGGAACATGACCGATCTGTCATCCAATATCGAGATGTTGGAGGTCGATCCGGTCTAAATCGGCAATTAACACTTTTTCATCTCCTCATTCGTGCTTCAATATCATCCTCCAGTGTTATCCAATCGACCACTTCATTCATACGTCTCGACATCGGTTTCCTTGACTCCCCTGAGTATGCAAAACTTCCAGATCGGTGAATAATTAACCAAAATCAGTACTCCCAATTAAGGATCGGTATAGAGTATCACCGATCCGTATGGCGTTGCACCTTCTTTGCCGATTCACCGACCTGTACCACCTGGTCCCAGATGCACTTTGGGGAGTCACCTTGTCCCAGATGTGTCAATTCTTCAACAAACCGTTGCCACAACATGCCGATCTGCGATCTGATCTTAGCCTGCTTCAATGTACGTATACTTCTTCTTGACCGGCATTCCAATGAGCTGTATGACTTCATCCCGACGTCTGGTTCCAGATCGCCCCATAACATTCTGCAAGGTGTTACACCTTCGTCGCAGAGTCATATCCCATCACCCGGTCCCAGATCCTTGTCCCAGATTGTTCCATGTAAATCGTTCCAGATCGCTCCGTCCCAGGTCGATTCATACCCATTAGTCTAACGACAGTTGGACCGGTTCGCCGATCCCGTTAAGATCATCTTCCACCTCCGTATTGGATCGCCGAGTCTCATGGCCTCCTTTTCCACCAGTAAGCGGTGCTTTAAGGGTGTGGCCACCGATCCTCGTACAAAATTTGAGTAGTGACTTTGCCACAAATTGTAATGAGGTAGTCCGTTACATGATATTGACACCAAACTGTGTCATTAGGGATATTGTCTGCACGACAATATCCTACCAATATTATCCGGGATGGAAAATATTGAAGGAACATTATACCCTTTTTGGATAATATCTATGCGCTGCTTAAAGATTGGTTGTTAAATACGTATCAACCATAGATTACCACCAATCGCTGCTAGACGCGCGCAATGAGTGGTGAGCAGGTTGTCGTCATACGACGACGTAGTTCAATGTAGTTATATAAAGACTGAAGTTATATAGCTTGACTATGTTAAATTCAGTTCTCTTTGTACCCTTACTTAAACTAGCTGTTTGAGCAGATTAGCTTCCTCTGCACGTGCTCGTGTACGTAAGGCTTTGTGGAACCCCAAACAAAGGGTGCCCTGTTTCAGGCACCGCATAAAAAGATTAAAAGATTGTATCTTATATTCAAGGGTGTCTGCGTAATGAGATAAGGGTTTCAACCTGCTCAGACCCTTCTTTATTTTCTCATTCTCTAATATTTAATTTTGTTTCGTGATCAATCGAGACAATTTTGTTATCTTCCCATTTACCTTTTTTTGCAATATACTAGAGCATTTTTCGCTCAAATGAGCTGGGGCTTTTTTTACTTCTCTTTTTTTTGGTGTGCTTGAATGGAAATTTTTTGTTTTTGGATTAAAAACACAAGTGTCGAAAAGTTTGAGAAAGAAAAAAATCGAGTCACGCAAAAATAGAATCCGTGACACTATATGCGGTGATCACTGTACCTAACAGGTGGAATTTCACTCGGAATTAAAATTAAATGAGCTTATACAAAGTCAATTGCTAACATGTGTTCGTTTATTTCTTAAAAAAATGTTCAGTTGTTCTCCATACATTGCGCCAAAGGGGGTTTCACGTTCGCAACTCGTTCGGCCTTCTGCGCCTTTCACCATGCGCATATTTCGTATCTGACCAACAGCTTTTTGCACCTGGCTCTCGGTCTCGAATAGAGATCATAAGCGAGCATGTGCTACGGCTGCGAACACCGCTCAAGCACGCCTTGACGAAGATACGCCCGACTACAAAAGCTTGTATATACGCGGCTCGTCATCACTGAACACGGTCGAGCCAGTCACGAAGTCGGGTATCTTCGCGGTGAACAAGACCGTCCCCGATATCACCGTGAACGATGATCGGATGGGAACCGACCTGGAAAAGTTGGCGAAACCTTTATTGTCTGAATCCATGGCAATCGCCGAGGAAGTTGGGATCCGCCTGCCTAAACAAACCCGGTTTGATCGCAACGTGAAATCTGTGGAGAATCCGACTGTTGATACTCCTATCCGTGGGAATGAGATGATGGAAACTGCGGATGTTGTGACTGCGAATCGTGAGACTGCGTTCAGTAATACTGCGATTATGGAGACTGCGACCCAACCCTTTTTTCAATGGTCGGGTCCTCACAAGTACAAAGGAGAGTTCAAGAGCGGCATGTGGAAACTTAAACGTACCATGGCATTTTGGAAACACGACAAAGACAATAAGGTCATCGACGCGCCGAAACTAGGGAAGTTGTTGGAGGCTAAAATGAAAGCATCGGGATCGAAGCACGTTGAGCCGGACGAGGTCATCATCACCATGTTCCTCTCTTACAGTCCACTGGATGTGGTGAAGCTACTAAAATCGCTTCGTGAGATTGAGGGCATGGAAGGTAAGGCCGACGCGTTGCACGGGCGACTACTTGCGATCCTCAAAGAGCATCCAGGGGTGGTGTCTTACGCGTGGATGGAGTCGGAATATCTTTCCGAAGAGCTTTTTAAGGTCGTCCGGTTGGATGGAACGATAGACTACGATGAAACATCAGTATTTCTATCAGAGTGGCTATGGTACATTGGCAAGTACAGCGAAACACACTTACATTTATTTCGCGTAGAACACGCTGTGAAACTTTTGTTTCAAAGCAAAGGGGCTAAATACGTGAACGCCTTTTTCGATGGAATGAAAGGAGTACCTGGACGTGAGAAACTCGCCGATGGGCTGCTCGAACTTTACGTTGAAGCTAAAAACTCCCCAACCTGGACAGAAATCTATGGCACAGCAAAAAAATATTTGCAGAGATACATCAAAAGTCAGCACCTCGCCAAGAGGGGGTATCGTGATGGAATAGTCGTGATGAAGAGGTATCTTTATCTGGAAGAAACACTAAATTACTACGAGGCTTCTTTCGTAAGGAAAGCATTATCGTTGGAGGAAAGTCCACTGCGTATTGTGGAATTTCTGGTGAAACTCTATGAGATCGGGGGGGCGTATGAAGTGGTCGTCGGACTGCACAGAATGCTACTTGCACACTACACGATTAACTCAGAAGCGATGTGTCACGCGTGGATGGAACTGAAATTGCACCCACAATATGTTCTCGATATGCTTGGGTTGACTATGGATCAGCGAAACACTGAATTAAAACTGTCAGCTTATCGGTGTGGTTAAGGTACGTTGACATGTACCGAGAGAAGTACCCGCGAGCTTATAGTGCCGAAGACGCGTTGAAACATTTGTTTCGCAACAAGGAAGCGATGGAAGTGGAGAAGATTATTGGAATGATTTCGTATGCCCGTAAAAATAAGATGGTTAAGGGACAGCTGCGCAAACTACACCATGCAGTCGTGGCGAGTGAACAAAATGTTGATACGAAGAGTCAGTTCTGCAGGTATTTAGAGGATTGGTTCCAGAGCTTATTTCACGCCCGTTTAAGCGAGCGTCGTAATGAGTAAGTCGATTTTGTTTACGTGCATCGGATACAATAGGCTTAGAGGTAGCATAAGTACTATGTGAATTAAGGACCTCTTGTAGATTACATCGTTTTCCACATTTTACCACTCAAACGACATTCGAAGAAGCACCAAGCTCAGCTGGCCGTCGACGAATCTGCAGTCGACTTCAAAGTATCGATAAGGGATGGCTTAACGTACCGGTCGTGGGTAGGTCATTTTACCGGCGATATCGGCCAATTAAAAAAGGCCGCGGACCGCAGCACAGTCCTTTATAAGTCCTATCAGATATCGATAAAAATGATCAATTGATGTAGTCATTTGATTTGTCCTCCCTCTCATATCGATTAACAATGATCAATTTATATAATTATTTGATTTGTCCCATTTATATTAAAAGGGGGATAGAGGAAGTGGTGAAAAAAGTGGGGCGTAGGGGACGATCAAAACACATCCCCTATTTAGGCCACCGCTCCTCTCTTGTATCCTGCACTATACAACCGTAGATGAGTAGTGCTTTTGAGTCGTGCTCTGTGATCCCACAGACCACCCAAACACGAAACCCGTTGTTTCTGCATAAAATCCTGTCACGGATAGTGACAATACAATATCAGTGATAAGATTTTGGCGTTACGTGGACACGACGACGAGACAAGTACTGCCATCATTGGTCTTGTGATGTCGTGGCTATGAGTTTTGCGTCGCAAAGAATACTTACCGGTGCACAGCTTTACTTGGCTCGAGCATATAATGCTGATTGTAGACCGTGAGTCGTGATGTAAACCTGCGTCCGTCAGTGCTATCGGCCTATGGCGGTGTTACTGGATAATATATGCGTGGTGTTGTTAGCAACTGACAAGAGCGAGGAAGTGTCAACAAATTGCTGGTTTGTGTTGAGACAGATAATGGAGCTCATGTGATATTAAGATATTGCTCATTGCTTTTTTAGGTTTAACGGGATGGACGTTCAGAAGACATAAAATCTGCTCCTCCGAGCATATTTTGGTGTAGCGAACAGTCCGAGTGAAGACCGTAGCCCGTATATTGTTAAGCGATGAATGCTGGTATCCATCAACGCGATTTAAACGGTCACGGTCCCCGCTCAAAAGTAGTAAAGTACGCTGATGCAAATTACGAGCCCAATGATAACGCACATTTGTCATGATTATGTGCCTTGGGCAATCAACCCTGCTCAACACACTATGTCGGGATAGACATGTTGGCGATCTCATACAGGTCCACTTAACGAGGTCCATGCAATTTTTAGCGCTTTATTTTGCTCTGGAAAACAAAGAAAAGCAGTCACTACCAGCTTTTGCGCCAGTATCCGCACGTCGAAGGGATACTGAGGCGCTATGTCGTGGGTCAATATCGCGTTGTTGGTCACAAAAAAATCAATGTCGCAAATGTGGGAGACCATGTTGCTATGCATAAAAAGTAGTTTAAAAAGACTGGTGAACTACCGATGACTAAAGTATCAGATTACAATTTGTGCGACAAATCGCAAACGATCAAACTGTTATCTAGCGCTTGCACGACCGCAGCGCCAATATTCTTTCATCGATTGTGTTTCCTCACGCGTGAGTATTGACTCACCAGACACAACGATTTTTGTTTTTAAGTGATCAGTGGGATCACAGTGCACAAAACAAACGCAATAGTTGTATGTAATTGCGTAGTGCAGGATACAAGAGAGAAGTGGTAGCCTATCAAGGAGGATGTTTCGGTTTACCCGTATCCTCCACTTTTGTCATCTCTTCCCCAATTCTATCTCTTTAAGAATGGACTTTTCAAACGATTACATAAATTAATCATTTCTAATCGGACTGTGTTAGAACCAAAAAATTACTGTATTTAAATCGTGGCCATTGAAAATGAGACTGAATAGATATAAACCCCCAACTTGCTACGTGGACCCCCCCGGATATATTTTTCCAATGATTATCTTACTTAGACGATGTCCCCCTAAAAAATTAGTATATAACTTGTTACTCCTAACGAAACTTGCGATACTCCGTGTTAGCCACAGAGACAGCGCCAGCGCGTCCAGTGTACGGTATTGCGGTCGTCCCTCTTGCACACGTTGACTCCATTTTATTACACGTGTACGATGTGGTAAGTCGTTCATCTCGTCACAGATTTGACAGCTACGCCGGATTCCTTACTAACGCTATAATTCGATACGTTAGCATGGTGATTAATGTTACGCTGATGCAGATATCTAATTGCTTTACCACACCCCTTACCTTACATTAATATTAATTTAAAATTGTAGGGAGACTTATGGAATGCTGTTTTTGCGTCTCCGGGTACGGAGCAGAACAAAGATAATATTGATCTACGATACTGTTTTGTAAGCAATAACCTCCCTGTGCGCTGTAGGAATAAGTTAAATTCTATTAAGCGCGTGCGCTCGACGATAATTTTGTCGCGTATACTAGAATCGCGGTACCACAGGACTTTAGACGGACCCTTTAATTTCATGGTGCTATAAAAAAAACATGTAAAGACAACAGTCCCATCCACATTTCCTTTTTGCTTCGAAACTGTAGAATCCACCGAGCAAGGTAAAAATCAAATTTACATTACAATTGATTATGGAGGCCTTACGCGCAGTAAAGATGTATCGGGTAATTTAAAGACCAAGAGAAAAACAGCCACCCACGCGGCCGAACTTAGCTTGGTGGTGTCTGCATATAAAAGAGACTTGTGCTACTCGTGTCGCAGGGCGTGTACTGTAAATGAGTGCTCATTCTTATTACTGTAAACCTGTGAATACATTTTCAAAAGATTGCTAACCAGCAAAAGAAACTGTGCATTTAAAAAAATAAGTTTGAGATGCATCGTCATCTTCTACATACTCATAAGCAGATAGTGTAACGGGTTACCCTTTGTTCGAGTGCCACGAAACTTCACGTACTTACGTACGTGCAGAGGAAGCTAATCTGCTCAAACAGCTAGTTTAAGTAAGGGTAAAAAGACAACTATATTTAATATAGTCAAGCTATATAACTTCAGTCTTTATATAACTACATTGAACTACGTCGTCGTATAACGACAACCTGCTCACCACTCATTGCGTGCGTCTAGCAGCGATTGGTGGTAATCTATGGTTGATACGTATTTAACAACCAATCTTTGAGCAGCGCATAAATATTATCCTAAAAGGGGATAATACTCCTTCAATATTATCCATCCCGGATAATACTGGTAGGATATTGTCATGCTAGACAATATCCCTATTGACAAAATTTGGTGTCAATATCATGTAACGGGCTACCCGGTTACAGATAGGTTACGGCGAGTGGTGGCGTCCACTCTTGCATGTATTCTATTTACATTTTAAATGGTGCAGAACTTGTGCCAGCGTTGATTAAGACACTACGACTACGCCAACTTTTAGGATTGGATGGACAACCACGTCCTCAAAGTGCCTGCGTTAGTTATAAAACAATTTAATGTGAATGCTTTTGGCAGATTATGTTGAGCTTATCATCAATAATTTGTTTTGCTAGTGTGGTGGTAGCAAATTGTGCCGTTTCCGAAGCCTTTTGATTGCATGATCAATACTTTGATCATCTTTCTCTGTCTCTTGATCTAGTTTGACAACTAACTAGATTTTTAGGGACACCAGTGTAGGTGAAAGTCAACAATTTTTAATCTGCCCTACGTTTACAGTAAGAATCGTAACTTGTAAGAACAGGGATTGCCCACGGTTGTAGTGTCGACATTTTGACAGGTTGATGCAGCAGCGCTTGTCATGCGCCACTCTTGCTCATGGGCCTATGCTCATGAGCAAGATTCAGCGCATGACAAGGAATGTTTCGGCGACTTCAGCCCATGCTGCCCCGAACTGCAATTGCTGCATATGCGATAGATCATATGCCAGACATTTGTTTAATTCTGCATGTTGCTGATCAACTGCGAGGCTCAGACGCCTTATCTTATCGACAAAGCTGCCAGTAGAAACAGTAACGTATAAATTTCACTGCGCTGAGGGCACCCTCGACCCGACTAGAGAAGACATTGTTGTATTGCAGATGGTTTTGTGTCCACACTGCAACAAATCTCTCTTTGTGTGGATCTAACTTTGTCGTTTCAGCTACTTGCAGGCATCAGCAGCGTAAGTACGCTGAAACGTGTTCAACCTGGTGTTAAATTCTTCTTCGTCCATACTTGCAACTAAACTTTTAGTAGACCAGACGTCCTGGCATTCCACAGATCCAAACTGCTTCCGGCAGTGTGCAAGCAAATTCTTTTGATTATGCCATGTGCATAGCACGTTATTTTTCGTCTAAGTTTAGATGCAGACTTATATTCTAAAAAAGGATGCTCAAAGTATGTAAAAATTATACTAGGCTGGCGATCTGGGGTAATTATCGAACTATTTGGTCAAGAGCCCAAGAAAAATCCATTTCCATCCCCTCTCTCCTGAAACCAAAGGCAGCCGAAAAAGAAATGGTTGGTTGCTGTCGTACCAAACATATGCAGTAGAGACAGGCGAAAACGATATGATTTTGTGTGATCAGCACCAATCTCTACAACGGTCAAGTTTAGCATCTCGTCGAGTCCACCTAGAAAAGTGCAACCCGCCCTGCCGAAGGGTACACAAGGTGAGGAGGAAAAAATTGCAAGCGAAATCATTGTACCCCCTCCGTTATTCGGTCGTCTGGGCGCCAGTGGAGAGTCGGGATCGCCTCAAAAAAATTTAGCGAACCCACTTCACCTCAATGGTGCGCGTGCCCGGATTCGAACTAGGGATTTCACCGTGAGTCCCGAAATGAAGATGTTAAGATCAAGACTGAACCTGGGATTGGAGCGTCAGCAGAATTTGGATTGCCACAGACGCGCGAAGAGAAAGGATCATAAGATCATCATAGTATTGGGAGGGGCTATGATGACAAGAAAGTCATAGAGGTAGATTGCCAAGCTGATCTGGAAGAAATAACTCAACCCCCTCCTGAGGTCTCTTCGGGGACCACCGCGGATCGTTCTGCAAAACA